ACCCCACGGTGCGGGCTCAGACCACTGAAGCTGCTTCTGGGTCACTGAGACAGCTGGTTTCAGTCACCAAAGAACACTAAGCACACTGCCTTCGGTCCCTTGCGACCCCTCCCACCTGCCTCCCTTGAATTCCAAGTGAGCACTGTGTGCACACAGGAACGTGGCGGCCATGGCTGGTATAGTCTGAGGAAGGTGTGGGGCCTGTGAGGAGAGGGCTTCTCAGGCCCGGGACCCACAAGAGGAGGTGCCTGGGTGAGCAGCTGCCAGATTCACCCTTGCAGGAAAGCGAGGGCGACCCTGGGTGACAGCGCAGCGACAGTCCTGGGAAGCCCTTCATACGCCTGGCATCCTGCTGCACTGACCCTGTCAAGCTTCAAAGGGGCCTTCTCTGTGGTGAAATGTATGAAAATCCCTACTGCCAAAGTTTACAACTCCAAAAAGCAATCTGCTAGGGAGAATTTTGCCAGTCTTTAGAGAGACTCATCATGCATTCAGTGTCACAGGATCTTTTGGTTTCTATTGGAGATTCATACTTGAGTTGTTTTTCAAATCAGTCATTGCAATGTATTACATGATGCTTTCTTCCCTCTCCTTTGTCCTCGTCCTCTGTAATAAATGGTTTGGATTTGGTTGTCTTTGTCCTAATAAATTACTAAGTTTTTTTTGGGTGGGGGGAGACGACCCACTGCGGTAACTCTCTTCCTTATCTTACGCTCACACTCTAGACAGAGCAGACTTGCTGCCATGTTATGGAACCACCCTATGGAAGGCTGAGAGGAGAAAACGTCATCCCTCAGAACTGTGACCTTTGAGGGGAGAAATGAACTGGACTTTGGAATTTGTCAGCAAAGCTGGTAAACACGGCCTAGCCAAGTCATGCCTCCATGAGGAATATTGGCAGTCATAGCCAGCCAGCACCACTCAGCCACTGAAGAAAGATGGCCTGTCGATTTGTGTTAGTAAAGATAAGCTATTTAATTTAATTTTAAAACTGACTGTGGGGTGCTTAAAAGAGAAAAAGGAAATAACAAACAAGCCTTCTCGTCTTATTTTTCCCCAGGCAGTTAACTGAAGGACTTGGCAAGATTGTGAACTTAATTAACTCTGGCCATGTGGAAGCAGTCCTCGGCAGCATGAGGAGCCGGCACCACTGTGCAGGCACTGAGTCCTAAGACGCCTGTGCCAGCAGCTTCTCTAGACATAGTTGAGGCTTTTGGGGAAGACTGACATTGCTTCTTACCAGCTCCACTTTCAGGTTCCTGAGTTCTGGCTCTGAATCCCAAATGCGTAGCTGTCGGTCTCCAGCCTTAAGCTTTTGGGGAGCCACAGGCTTAGGAAACGCCACCATGTTTCTTTAAACTTGTGAGACCCGGTCCTCTGCATGGAGAAGCATAGCTCAGGTCTGTCTGGGAACTTCCTCCATGAAGCCTGGGGTTCAGGTTCCAGTCTCCGTTCACCAAGGAGCCCTCTATCTCTCAGAGCTGGGCAGTGACCATGCTCCCAGGCTGGCCCTCTTGGGAAGGTGTATTGCTGTTCACTAACTGGTTCCTCACTGTCAGCAGCACGGATACACTTTAGAGTCACAGCAGTGGAAATAGAGGTTCTTGGGGGCACACAGGGTTCCTGCAAGTCTATGGTCACCAGAGGTCACACAATCATGGATATTGGTCTTGTTTGCTTGTTTGAGACAGGGTTTCTCTGTGTAGCCCTTGGTTGTCCTGGAACTCACTCTGTAGACCAGGCTGGCCTTGAACTCACAAAGATCCCCCTGCCTCTGCTTCCTGAGTGCTGGGATTAAAGGTACACGCCACCACTGCCTGGCTACAGTTCTCCTTTTAAGACAAGAGTCTCACTAAGTTGCCCAAGTTGGCCTTGGACTTTCCATCATTCTACCTCAGTCTCCTAGGAAGTTGGGGTACAGACTTTGGGATACCAGGACCAGAGTGAAGCCACTCCACTCAACACTGCTACTACTTGGTTCCTCTGTGGGATCAGGAAGATTTCTTGCCGTCTTCCCCAAACTGTTCTCTAGCACCTCAGGATAAGACCTTACTCATAAATAGCATCTTTTAAATGTGATATGAATTGAGGTCAAATTGGAGCAAGAGAGCTAGGGGCTGATGTCCTTATGACAGGAGAGGCCACATTCATGTTGCTTTGGTTCCACAGTGGGTGGATCTTTCTGTGGCAGCCCCAGGATACCAGTGTAGCAAGGAGACATGGAAGCTTTTGAATTGGCCCATGTGGGAGAGAAAGGGTGTGGTGTATAGATTACAAGGCACAAGATGGAAACCAAGAGATTCCTCCTGGGAAGTCCACATGCCACCTGGGTGCCACCTAAGTGCCAGATGCCAGGTGGGATTTGTCACTGTTATCCCCTTGTGCTCACCCTGTTTGGCTGCTTCCCATGGGGCCCAGCCTCAAACACAGTCTGAGCCATCAAAGAATCTTTGCTGGCAAATTGAACATTTTTATTAGGCAGCATTAAGTTCTGCTGCATTGTGTGTACCAGAGAAGAAAGCAGCAGCACCCCGCATGTAAGAACTCCCCAGGGAGTCCTCCCAGTTCTGTCTCCCAGAGCAGCCAGAACTCTGGATACAAATGAGCCATTTTCTGCCCAAATGACATGAATTCTTCTACATTGGGCATGAAGCCAGTTTATAATTGAATTAATTAAAGAAACAGACTCATTCAGTCTTACTCAATTCTATTTGTTTGGTTACTACCATTTAAAACATGATTATTGTCAGAGAAAGACAGAGACAGAGAGACAGACACACACACACACACACACACAGAGAGAGAGAGAGAGAGAGAGAGAGAGAGAGAGAGAGACTATGTGAGACAGTCAGGCAGGGTGGGTGGAAAGAACCCAGTTAAGGCATGGAGAAGTGTACCCCACAAACCCTGTGACTGTGACCACTTTATACACAACCACTTTCTTCCTCTGGGCCTCTGCTTGGCCAGCCATAAAGTGTGGTCAGATGTTCTCAAAACTACTTAAATGTATATAAAGAACTGAATCTCTCATCAATATAAATAGTGTTCTTTCTTTTTGCCTCTCCTCTTCCTCCTTTTTTCTCTCTCTTCATTCCCTCCCCTTTAGCATTGCCCACAATGGTACTAGATGTTATTCTGAGCCCAAGACTTATATCAACATACATGCATGCCACATGTCACCATGAATTCAAGACTTGAAAACTGGTCCCAGCATAGAACATCTCTGGGACAGACAGTATCTAGACAAGCAAGTACATCCTGCTGGCCATGGGCAGTATTGCCAACAGCAAAAGCAGGAAGCATTAAACTCTACAGGAGACCCTCCCTCACATTCTTTCTCCATCTTTGGCATTCCTGGGCAGGTGAGTGTCAGAGGAGTGTGTACCCACTTGTGAGGAGGTGAGGTCGGTGAGGGATGAGTGTATCTCACAAAGCAGGTGCTCTATTACGCCTGTACCATAGCAGATGGAGTGCCTCAGACAAGGGACATGGATGTCTTGGCCCCTACCTCACAGCCCCTCCCAGGCCAGGAAGATGCCGAGGAAGACAGGTGTATGGTTTGCCAAGGTTTGAGGATGTTTTTAGGTAAGATCCTATGAGGTTATGGTTTGGCAGCCTCATCTGACTGCCAGTTTGCCCAGTGGGTACACATCGAGACAACTCCATGCTTATGAGCCTGTAATGTTTTCCATGTGAAGGCATGGGCTATATTTAGCTGCTACTGATACCAGTATCACCCCCTCACCATGTGAACGTCAAGCCTATGGGCTTAATCCTGTGTCCTCCTGTGGTTGGAGGGTAGTGAGGGTCCTCTGCCAAGAAAGATAAGATGAAGGACACAGCTTCTCCCAGCTACAGGAAGGGAGGTACTCAGGGGCGATGCACTGAGGTTCCAGTTCTGGGAGGAGGATGGGGACACATGTCCCATGTCTTCCCCATAGTAAGAGAGCATCATGGTGTGCTGCTGGTAATAGCTCTGTATCTTCCTCCAAGAGGCCAGGAGCCTGGACTGTGGAACTTGGCTCACATCGGGCAGTGAGAGGTGTCCTGCTGTTTTCTGGCCCTTGTAGCAGTTTCCTTCCTGAATCTGGTGTCCTGAGCAGGGTGAGGTGGTGACCTCCTGGAAAGAAGCATGTTAGGAAGGGGAATGCCAGGTCCATGGCCCCTCTGAAGTCTGAACTGTTCAGCTGAAATAAGTGTGAACAGGGCCGTGACAATTTCTATTCTGCTGAATAGAACTTCTTTCCTGCTGACCATACGGAAGGGTATAAGGAGCCAACAGTGGCCTATAGTTCTACCTCTGTGAGACCAGAAGAGAGGTCAGGAGCTGATTGGCTTTCAGCAGTAAATGGTGAGTTCTGATGCTTCATGGGTGCAAAGGGACAGTCAGTTTCCAGTCTAATTCCTCCTAGCAAGGAACAAGGTGCTCTCACCGAACTTATTTAAGAAGCATGGCTACTAAGACCAGCTTGGCAGCCCTGAAATGGCCAGAGCTTAAGGGTAGTGGCCATATCCAGAACCTCACCACAAGCACACCTACCTCCAGCTGCCCGCCCAGGACAGCCTCCTGCCAATGCTTGCCATTGACACTGGAGTGACCAGTCAATGTCCACGGATGTCAGTGACTGCAAATAGAATAAGATGAGTCACTGTGTCCTGAGGCCACTGTCTGTGAAGACACTGGCCATGTTCATACAACTCTCCTGCCTTGTGTCTTAGAAACTCTGGCTTTCAGCTGCAAGTACAGCTACCCAGTGATAGGCCACATTTTCCAGCTCTGACCACCAGGATGATAACAGAGGCAAACAATTCTGAAGGCCAATGACCCCTAGTCCTCTTGTACTACAAGAGTGGGCATATCCTAGCAAAGATGCCTGGAAGTGTTCTCTAAAATTCAAGATATTAAGAGTGTTTGGCTTTGCTAGCCATGCAGCGTGGCCTGCACTCTGTGCTGCAGCTCAAACACTGTAGTCACAGATGGTCTCAGACAACAGGTATGGCTGTACGCTGACAAAACTTTATTTATAAAACAAATGAAGGGCCAGGAGGATCATCTGATGATGCCCACTGCATACACGGTAGAGCAACAAGAGACTTACTTCCCAGACTGAGACTCATGCCCCATGACTGCCAGGCTGATCCTCAGGAAGAAAGGTGCGGGTGTTGTTTACTGGGTCTGTCTGTCCATGTGATCTCTCCCCTTTGCCTCATTACCAAAGCACAAGGGGCCACTCTCTGAATTTGCCTTAGATTATGTTGAGGTTGAGCAGGTGAGCGAGGGGCAGCTGGGCTACGAGGCCTGACTGAACCTGCTAGGAGGACAGGGTGCTTGGCATGAGGATGCACCTGCCTTCAGCACTCAATAGCTGAGTTTCTTTCCATATGGGTTATGTACAGGGTTAGTACATGCGTGGAAGCTGTCCTTGCAGTCACTTGGGGAACACTGTAGAAAAGGCACATGATTTGGTATGGGTGTGCACTGTCCTCAGATGTCCTCCCTCAGGCAGAGCTACCTGTCCCAGGAAAGTCTGGTTCCTAAAGCAAACTGAAGCTGCTGCTCCCAGGCCTCCTCTGCTGTTCCAGGTGGCAGGGCCCAGCCCTGAGGTGTACAGGGCCCACATTGCTCTGGGTCTGTGGGGGTGGGCGAGGAGTTTCCATCCTGGCTCCAGTCCAGGATCCCCTGAGTCCTGCAGCGCTCAAGAGTCCCTGGGCCCGAGTGTGTGGAGGTGGGGTGGGGCAGAGGTCAGTGCCTGGTATGTTTGATCCAGTTTCGGATCATCCACTTCTGCCCTGAGCAGCGCTGCACTACCAACCGCAGTCCAAAGTTGGCATCTTTAGACATCTCTACCTCCAGACACCGGCCTGTGTCCCGGCTCACAATGGGACCACTCTGTAGGACAGGAGAAACAGAGTTAGCTTGGGAGTCCAGGGTGCATTCCTGATGGGGGTGATCCCAGCCCACTCTGGTCCTGACACTATGAAGACCTAGGAACCTGTCTCCTTAGATTATGTGAATTTCCTCTTGCCCACTTTAGGTGGGCTAGCAGTTTTGTTCAATTCTCTGGGTTTCAAAGAGGTTCCACGAATGTATCTAGGGCCTCTAAGGTTGTTGTTTTTCTAGGTTTTCTTTGGCCCCCTTAATTATTTGGTATATCTGTGGTCCCCAAACCTTATGGGCCTTGGCTCAAGCCTGGTGACTTTAGAGCCATTTCAGTAGGTCCTTTCATGCTGGCCCTGCCTGTCCACCAAGGGTCTCCTGGGAACCGTAGACCCTCATTGACTCAGCAAGCAACAGTGGCGGCTCATCCTTACAGCCAGAGTAGCTAGAACCCACTCTTTCTACAAAATGCCCCTCTGCGTGGGATCCTTGGAGGCTAGGGACCAGGGGAAGATCAGAGGATATGTGATCCATAGAGACTGCTGAGTGGATTGGGGTGTAAGGAAGGGATAGTGAGGGGGGCTGAACCTGAATCAGGACCCAGAGACCCATAGGAGTGGGGCTTGAGGTAAGTGAGGGGGAGCAGGGCAATGGTCAGCTTCAGAACCCTGAGGAGCTCTAGTGGCCAGGGCTAGTCTTACTCCATCCTCTCTGCCCGAGTCCAGTGCTGGAGCAGGCAAGGCTGTGTCTCCCTTTCTCTTCCTGTGTGACTCTAGTCCATTCTTATCAGTTTTCTATGCCACAGGGCATGAGGTGGTCATTCCTGACTATCAACAGGATTTCACTGACAAGTGCCTAGAAGTGCATGCCTCTGGGTGTGCCTGTGAGGGTGTTCGCGGACAAGCGCAGCCAGCATATACCCACCCAGGGGCTGGGGGTGAAGATGGAATAATAGAGGGAAAGGAAGAAGTCAGTTGGCATAGGCTCCTCCCCTCCTCCTATCACGAGGTGAGCTGCCCTATGGCAAATCTTCTGAAACCATAAGCACAAGCTAAGGCTTTCCTTTCAGCTGTTTCTCTCGGTATTTGCCACAGCCATGAAGTCTGACTTTGCAGGGCTGTCAGCCCATTCACTGACCTGAGTAAAGTCCCATAGCCTCTGTGTAGGCCTGGCTACATCTTCACACTTCTTCAGGGTGGGCATGCGCCCCCGGCCATCATCTACCAGACACTTGGAATCTGGCAGAAAGGCGGTAGAGCCCAGGGGGCCCAGCTGCAGGAGGCCGTCAGCACTGTAGCGCACCAGCTGGGGAGACAGTGGGAGCTGTGAGTATAACTGAGGTTCAAGCTCAAGTTAACACATCCTGTCTGTGCCCAGGCCCACAACGTTCCTCTGTAGCAGGAGAATGTGGTGTTGCTGTGGCCATGTCCACCATGACATGAGCACTTTGCCAGGTGCTCAGGTCTCACTAGCACACACTCACTCCTCTTGGACCTGAGAAAATGGTGTGAGCCAGGGATTGAGTCACAAGTGTTGACAAGATTGGAGGGAAAGTATTTACAACTCCACTGATAGCCCCCTCTGCCCTCAGTCAGAGGTTATTGTGCTGAAAACCAACTGGGAAAGGTCAGAAAAGCTTAACTCTCCCAGAGGCCACTACAATGCACCCCATCGTAGCATAGGGGACAGTAATCTCCCACCCACTGGGCCACTGTGCCAAAGCAGGTACCTTGCAGCCTGAAATTAAGAAGCACCCAGGAGATACTCGCTATCTCTATCCATGTTGGAGGCAGCATGGACTCACAGAAGTCCAGGTCTACCCAGATGTATGTTCATGAACGAGGCTCAGGTTCAGAGAGGACAGGTCTACAGAGCTCAGCACTTGCTGGGGAGGTATCATTATCGATAGCAGAGAATGGGATTCAGTTGTGGCTGGGATTAGCCACATAGAGATATGAACAACCTCAGCCCTAAACTATAAAAGGCACTTAAATCTGGCAATCCTTTCTCAAAATGCAAGCACAGCTAACAAGAACAGAATGGAAAACAACTTTTTTCCTTCATCGTGTCTAGACCAGGCAACACTTTATCATGACTTCCACTAATCTACAAGACCACCTGAGAAAAGACATGCTGCCTCTATCCCATTTAACTAATCTAGAAACAAAGGCATGGGGCCAGTTCATGACTTGCCAAGGCCCATTTGACCCAAAGGGCTTGTTTTTAACTTAATGGCACCAACTGCCTTCAGAATCCCAAGCTGCTTCTTACTCTTCTAAACTTGGTCCCAACAGCCAAGGGATTCTCCATGACCTACCCCAATGCCTATCCTCCCTTTACTTTGGGAGGTCTAGGTGCTGCCTACCTGTGAGGACATGCCATGGCAGGGGTAAAGGATGGCCCGGTCATCATCTTCTGCCCCCTGGTCCAAGCAATAGCCACTGGCTTTACTGTTTCTCACCTATATCCAGAAGCAACAGAGAAACTGCAGGTCACTGAGGAGGGTCCCAAGGCTGGAGGGAAAACACCCAGGAACTCTCCCGCTCTGTCTCCCACTTAGGAGCAGAGGTGACCACTTGGTAGCTGGCTGTGGGCTACCTGAGATGAGACAGGAATGAACTTCACATCCAGAATTCCCCACTTGGGATAAAACCCTGGGGCTTGGCATATGACTGGGGCAGAGCAGGAGGTATGGTGTAGTGTGGGTGCAAGGGGGAGGAGGTGGAAAAGGTGACCAAGTGAAGGGAGTCTAGTTCCCTAGAAGCCTGGGAAGAAATGACTATGCTTGTCACACAGACATTCTGTGAGTATATGGAAAGTTAGCTGGCCTCCAGCAGGCGAGGCTGGATTTGGTCAATAGGATGGCTTGTGTTACTAGCTTAGGGACATCCCTGTGCTAGTATCTCCTCCCATGCAGATTCAGAGACTGTTTTGCCTCCAACACACTTTGGTCAAGGACTGAAATAAAAGTGATTGTGTATACTGAGTTCAGGAGGCAGTTGTTGGTCCCCCCAAAGTACACATTGGACCCCTCGCTCCAGTTCCCAGCTGGTGGAGGAGTGATATGACCCAATCATCAGGCAAATAATCTCTAATCTATGTAATAAGCCAGGGCACCCACTTTATAGCCCCCAGGAACAGTGGTGAACTTAGACTCTGACTCCAGAGTTATATTCTGTTTTACCCTACTGGGTTTCAGGCTGTGGAGTTTTCAGTAAGTCAATCACAGAGCACACACCCCTAAAAGGACAGGAAAAGTCCTAGGGTCACAGCATCTAGAGTTGGGTATGGACCCCACAGTGGGCAGAAGTAGGAGGGACAACAGCAGAACAGAGAGGACAGCTGCCTCCCTCTCCAACCACTTCTGGGAAAGCGCTGTGCACACAAACTGGATCTGACTAAGGGGTGACCCCGCTCTAGGGATGGATGGGTCTGCAAGGACTACCCACCAAGCCCCTTGGCCCTACCCTGGGTGCTGTCCCAGGGCAGTATGTATACCACCTCTCTCTCTAGGAAAGCTGGACTGTCCTCATGTGGTTGAGAAGCTGGGACAAAAGGGGGATGCCCTCCCCTCTTCCTGCCTGTTCTGTGGTGGGATACCTCAGATTCCAGACCTGGGCCAAAGTCAGAACACAGGGCCTTCTCCCTGGTTTTAGAGAGGGCTCTGTGCACAGATGTGCACTCTGGAACTCAGGGCAACACATACTGAGCTCAGGAGACAGTTGCTGTCTCAAGTGCTCATGCTTCTGCATATGCTTAGAATGCGCGTGTTGTGGTGTGAATGTAGCTATGTGGTATTAGTGCACAAATGTGTGCAATTCCATGTTGGATGGAAACTTTTTCACATGGGTGAAAGTGAGTGTTTGGGGAGCTCCATGTATGTGAACAGTAACAATATGCGCCTGTGACCTGTGTGTGTGCACATGTACCCATAGGAGCAGACATGCTTCAGTATGTATTTGTATGGCCTCATGCACAGGTATACATGTGATGAATGAGCACAGGCTACATGAATGAATACACATAATTTCATATATTCATGCATGTATGAATACACATTCATGTGTAATGATGCATTCATGCACACATGCATCTTGATATGAATGAATATGAATATATACACAGATGGGTGCAGATGTGTGATGGGCCTGTGAGTTTATGCATTTGTCAGCATGTGTGTGATTGCAAGTCTACATACGCATGTGTAAGCACGTGTGAATGTCTGTTAATACATGTGTGTATATCTATTTTGGTATATTTCTTTTTATAATTTATGTATTTTTGATAGATGAAGTGGTGCACACTTTTAATCCCAGCAGGAGGATCTCTGTGATTTTGATACCAGTATGGTCTACATCAAATGTCTACAGAATAGCTAGGGACTCTATCTCCAAAAAAACCAATTAATTAATTAGTATTTGTCTTGTGTGTGGCTGTATACTTGTGGAGTGCACGTGGAAGTCAGAGGACAACTGAGGGAGTTGGTTTTCTGCTCCTACCATGTGGGTCCCAGGGATTAAACTCAAGTCTTTAGGCTTAGCAGCCAGCATCTTCCTCTGCTGAGCCACCTCACTGATCCATTTATTTGGGTATATTCCTGCATGCAAAGGTGCAGGTATGTTTCCATGTGAACCCAATAGTGGTGCTTCTCATGAACACAAGTATACCCATGTCATTTGGAGCCTCAATGTCCAAGAATGTGCCTGATAATATACACATTTATGTAGGTGAGTTCCTGATGTTAGCACAGGACACTGGGTATAAAGGCCTGGAGCACAGGTGCTGGGGTGCTGGGCAAGAAGGTCACAAGCCCAGCAGGGCCCTGGTGTAGAGGCGGTACCTCTCCGTACGTGAGCGTGTTGTTGTAGATCCTCATCTCGGGGTACACGTTCTCCAGATACCATTTAAAGCTGCGGCATTTTAACTTCTGGCGCAGGGCCAGTCTCTCGGACACATCCCCAAAGTCCACTCCTGGGTTCTGTGGGGTACAGCATGCAGGAGAGTGTAAGTGTTGCAGATCCATGCTACCCTATGGTTTCCCATGTCAGGGACTCCAGGGGCCTGGGTTCACCATCTTTAAGAGTGGCCCTGGCTGCAGCCTTGGGCCACCATGGTCTCATCTTGACCTCCTGACCTGGAACTCACAGAGGGTTCTGGCTGTGGGTACAGACATGGCCTGTCCACAGCTGCCCTACTTTGGGGAAGAGACCTGTGCTGTTCTTCCTGCCTGATCTGTGTTGTATTTGCCTGTGCTTCAGTGACACTCATAATGGGACCCTGGACCACAGTGTATCAGTCAAACTGAGTTTGATTTCTAGGGGTTGTCACCATGACTGAGCCCCAGACACAGAATTTCAGCAAGTTAGAAGGACAGCTACCCTTGGTAGAATGCTATGTGTTAGCATTAGGAAGGCTCAGAAGGGGACCACGGGTGCTGTGAATACATGGATCTCCACCCTGGCTAAACCTACACTGCAGCTCCACTGAGTTCATGATCTTTCTAGGGAATTGTGAATCCTGAGTTGCTGTGGAGTTTAGTACCCTGTGTAGGCCCTGAGCCATCAGAATATGAGGTAGATTAGGAACTACCCCATCCATGGCTCTCTGATGCTCCATCTCCCCACAGGTCTAGGGGTAGAGCAGGTTCAGGCCTGGGCTAGTTTGAGACCTGACACTTTTCATGTGTGGTCTTGGAACAGTCTCTTAACCTCACTACTAGCCTTGTTTTGAGGATTAAATTAGTTGTAGTACTCCTGACTGAGGAACATATATTTCCCTCCATTGAGTGGATCTAGGGCTGGTGAACCTCATGTGTGGCCCCTGTGGCCGGCTGTGATGTCCTATGTTCCTTTGCAATGTTAACAGAGGTAGAGTTGTGGAGTCTCAAAATCACCTTGTGTTATAAACAACAGGATTCTCAGATTTTGCCTCTACTCTACTATCCATCTAATGGGGTCTTGATCCATGAAGCTGGAGGGAAGCCTGGAAGGGGATTTTGCAGGTCCTGAGTTAGGGTGGTCAGTCTTATGCATCTTAGCAGGGTTGTAAGGAAGGGAGGTGGTCCGGTCCAGATGCTCCACAGGATTATCCAAATGACAGGTGTGCAGGCTTAGTGGCGGAGAGCCAATTTAGGATGATGAAGAGAGACACTTAAAAAGGCTAAGTTGGCCAGGCAGCAGTGACCCAAGCACAAAGGAGGAAGAGGAAGACTATTGTGAGTCAAGGCCAACTGTGGCTGCAGAATGAGACCCCATTTAAAATGAACATATTAATTAATACAAGAAATCACACATGTGCTCTGAATCAGGATATAAGGCCTGGTTCTACTATGGGACAAGAGAAAAAAGAGGTTATTTGCAAAAAGCTGGACCAGCTGGAGAAAGCAGCACTGGGGTGGAGCTTAGGGCACACCTGACCTTTACTGACAACCTTTGGTGGCTACCTGTAAATTACCTATGGTGAGGGGAAGGGTGTAGCCGCTATGGCTGGATCAGCAAGAAGCCCTTTCCTACATGACCCTCCATGCACGGGAGGCTGCCTGGAAGTGGCCCAGTGTTCCAGAGTCCCTCACTCCAATTCCCTCCCTAGGGTCTACAAGCTTCCCTGTATCTGCCCACCCCACCAGGTACCCGCCTTACTGTCATGGGAATATTCCATGCCATGTACACATGGGACTTGAAATCATCCATCCACACCTCGGCAGCTCTCAGTGCATTACGCTTGGCATAGTAGTCGATGTCATTGTTGTATGGCTTCTTGGTACGCTCAATGTGGGCCACACGGGAGCACGGGAGTACCTCCATGCTGCCGCCACACTGCCACACCTGGGGTGAGAGGATTGGACCTGGTTAGAGGCTGAGAAGCCCACCTGACATGCCAGGTAACCCAACATACCACAGGAGGACAACTGGTCCAGTTGAGTCTGGAGTTCCTAGGGGTCTGGATATTTTGGATTTGTCAGAGGAAGGTGTCTAAGAAGAAGCATGGACTAGGGGCTGTATCCACCAGGACTTGGGCAAGAGGCTGCCTCCCCTTTGGAATTTCCTGTCATGCCTGATTTCTCTTCCATGTTATGACTGTGGGTTTGAATGCCACCCACCCCACTCAGAGCTCTGCGTAAGGATTCTCAACCACCTTCCTACCCCAGTTGCCAGAGTCAACCTATAGCTGATTTGGGTTGCCTAAAAAAGGACCAGTTGCCCAACAGCAACTGAATTGGAACCTCCAACCCCTGACCCCGGCTCATTTTTAGACGCTTTCTTCCCAGTGTCTGGTGTTATTTTGATAGCCTGTGAAAATACTAAGCAAGGGGACTGGGCTAAAGGAAGTAAGTCACTAGGATGAAGGCTGCTTCCTGTTGCACTCTGCTTCCTAGTCAAGCATGATGTGAACCTACCACGGATACACGTGCTTCTGCTGCCATGCCTTCCCAGCCATGGCAGAACGAGACTCTAAAACCGCATACCCAGGTAAATGTCTCCTTATTTGAGTTGTTGTTGATACTTCAGTTACAGAGAAGCGAAGAACATACGAAGCCTCTGGTACCCTATGCGAACGAATGATCCCAGTAGAAAGTAGAATAGCTTGCTTTCTCAGAAAGCAAACACTGAAACCCCTCATCTGTGGCTCTGCAGTAGAAATTGATTTCACACTCTGGTTCCCAAGCACAGGCTTTGCTCCAGTCATTTCAATTATGTTTAGCTCTCCCCACCTATAGGGCAAATCTCCACGAGATAGCAAGCGGCTCAGTGCCTTCCCTCTGCCCAGGAACGGGATGTTTGACCAAGTGTTATTGGAGTGTACTGGATAAGAGCTCTGATACTCCTGCATGGTAAGTAGACCAGAGAAGATGCAGACTGGGAGGGGAGCTCATGCTCAGCCTGTCCTAGAGCTGCTCTGCATCGTATCAACATTTCGAACTGGGACTTGCACCCGTAGATCCCTGACACGGACCTTGGGGCTTCTCAGCATCCATAACTGTGAGTGGCTTCCTAGGTCCACCTAGGTCTTGCTGGTCTGTTTCTCTGGAGAACTCTGGTCAATCCCCTTTTTGTCCTGTGCCAGTCCCTGCTCCCATCAAAATAGTGTTCTGTGTCCCACACAAATGCATAACACCACATGAATTCAATCACAACAGATGCAAGGGGATTGCATTTTTTTTTGAGATAGGGTTTCTCTGTGTAAATATCCTGGAGCTCTCTTTGTAGATCAGAATCTCAAATTCACAAATCTGCATCTGCTTCTACCTCCCCAGTGCTGGGATTAAAGATGTGCATCATCATGGCCAACATAATAGAGTTTTTTTTTAATAACAAGTTTCACAGGCATAGTGACAATGCCTGAGAGAAGTACCTTGAAGGAGGAGGTGGGCTCATCACCTTGAAGGAGGAGGTGGGCTCATCACCTTGAAGGAGGAGGTGGGCTCATCACCTTGAAGGAGGAGGTGGGCTCATCACACACGGCCTCAGTCATTCACCTCCACAGCTGTGGGTCTGAGCACAGTGAGGCTGAGCAGCACACTGGGAATAATGTTGTTTGCCTTGTGAACAGGGAGACACAGAAAAGCGCCTAGGGCCTGATGTGCCTCCTGGCAAGGATCTGTTTCCTGTGACCTACTTCCTCCAGCATGGCCCCACCTCATGACCTAAAGTTCTCACCTCCCCAAAAAGCACCACTAGCTGGGGATCAAGTCTTTGATATACAAACCTTTGGGGATATTCCATTTTCAAACCATGACACAGGAATGAAAACAAGAGAATATCCAAGACATTCTAGACAGATAATGAGGGCATAATCAGTTACTAGACATAAAGTATTTTACAAAATACTTTAAAATGAGGTAACGGTTGAAAGTAGAAAGCTAAAACAAGTACTACATATAGACACACACATATATACACAAACATACACATGTAACACACACACACATATATGTTCAAACCACTCACGCAATACATGCATACACACAACACACACTGACACATAAGTACACACATCAACACACTTGCATGCACACACACACACATAGTACATGGCAGAGGCTGTTGTTTTTGTGACAAAGATTGGAGGGACCTCTGTTTTACAGCCATGTAGAGGCAATTGCGAGGTCACTTCTTTACAAGCACACACTGTACACTGACCAAGATCTTAGAGTGGAAACATTGTGCCACCAACAGAAAACACCAGGAAAAGCCCTGTGCCTAGAATGACAGCCAGATGCCACGGGAAGGGGCTTCCCAACCACACAAGGAGCTGATATCCCTGAGGGCAGAACAGCTCTTCAACCAGCCAGAGAAGGAGTGGCAAGTAAGAAAAGCCAGCCAGGGAGACAAAAACATATGGTGAACACATGTACACAGCATTCACACTCATTCAAAACCACAGAGCTACATCCTTAGTGTCTGTTATATTTGCATAAATTAAAAGAAGACAGTTGATCAGCCCCTGCGTGCCACAAGGCCTGGACAATGACCTCTCTCAGGCATCACTGACAAAAAAAAGTCCATATACACTATACTCACATATACACACTTACGGAAACCACACAAACATGCACACATAACACATTCCACACATGCCCACAATATCACACATGTACACATATACATATATCATACACATGTGCATATACCACACTAATATCACACACATATATATACACACACATATTGCATACGTACACATATGCACAAAGACCACACTATACGCCATATATATGCACACATATACATACTTATACCACATGTATGCATCAGACATATCACACATGCTTACATACAACACATATGTACACATATACTACACTCATCACACACACATACACCATACTCACGTAGACATATGGATTATATATTTACATACACGTGTACATATATATACCACACATATACATATATACACAGACATATATTATATGCACACACATATACATGTACCACACATCACATTAATATATATGCATTCAAAGATACACACATACATATACTCACATTGAAATATGTCACACATATATATCCTTTGGGGGGCAGGAAAAAGGCCTAGCATTTGTATCAAAAGTTGTATAAACACAAGTCTCGTCTCACTGGTAGACTCCATTTCCAGAGCTATGTAGGTAGTCAGACCAGGCCATCACTTCATGTCTGATGACACAGAGAAGCCACAAGGGCCTTCCAGGTAAGTACCAGAACCCATGAGTCTGAGGATATAAAAGAAGATGAAGGCCGAGAGGTGGTGGCACACGCCTTTAATCCCAGCACTCAGGAGGTAGAGACAGGCAGATTTCTTGAGTTCGAGGCCAGCCTGGTCTACATGAGCAAGTTCCAGGACAGGCTCCAAAGCTACAGAGAAACCCTGTCTTGAAAAGCCAAAGCTAGAAAAAGAGAGAAGAAGATGAAGAACTTATGGCACATGTCTGCAGCAGACTAGCAGTTCCAGCAGGTCACCTCAAGGATATCTGCAGGACACAGCTAATGCACAGACATAAATAACACATGACAATGCCCATCACACATGACCTATTGCATGCATGTGCACACATATAGCCACAAGCAGGCTCTGAGAAGGGGCACACCTGACACTGACAAACTGTGTGCAATTTCAATTCTATTTGAGCCAATATGTTCCATCCCACTCATCCCCATTTACATCAGGACAATTTCATAAAAGGAGTAAAACAGTGGGTAAGCAGGTAGGCAAGCACCTATCACAGCCACCGTGAGCTCCCACTGCACACAAGTTCCAGGAGTTCTCATGTGCTCCTCTACAATGGATGGGGAAACTGAGGCTGAGACAGTGAGCAAGCAGAGACAAGCTTGAATGCAAGTCTCGGGAATCTGTGAAGATACACTGTCTGCGATGCTGCTTCTATGCATGAGGCAGCAGATACCATCCATCCTCTTCCTCCTGGAGGTAAAGAGGCTCAGCTTATGGCCACTCTTGTCCAACACCCAGAAAGCAAGGGACCCCTCTGCTGTGTCTCACACAGGCATTCTCACTGAGCTACTCTGGTCCATCAGATGTGTCCAGGACAGCCCTGCTGCTTGCCTAGCCAGTGCCCTTAGAAAGTTCTTGGTAGCCTACAGCAGTTAACACCAGAGCTGTTGGAAGCAGGCTGCTTCTAGGCCACCCATTGGCAGGGGGCAGTTGAGACACCCCAATATAAGTAACAACACACAACTCAAAGGTGCTCTCTCAGCCCTCCTCACCTTGAACTCAGAGCAGATATCCTCTTGGGCCTAAAATACCACCCTGGGGAATGGCCTGCTCCCTGCCTCGGACATACACCTTATTAGTGCTCATCATATTAACTGATTAGTTTTAACGTCCTGTCTCCTCTCCTCCCTCTTTTACTAGAATTTTGTTCTCAGAAGCCCGAAGACACAGCTCAGTGTAGAACATTTGCATCTCCTTTGGTGCCACCATGGAGCATGGAGGGGCTGAGGGATTTCCATGAGGAAGGCTGGGAAGATGGGGGATTCTGAGGGTGACACCTGAACAGAGAGACATGAAGGAACAGTGGGAGCCAGTCGAGTTATGAGGCTTATAGGGTAAAGTGTCCCTGGCAGAAGGTCAGCAGTGTAGAGGCTCTGGGGTAGGTACCTCTTCAGGATGAGCTCACAGGCTCATGCTCTGCTTGCCATTCCCTGTTTCCACTGTTGCTGACCTGTGATTAATATGATGGCCCACATAGCCTTCCTAACCAGCTCAACCCAATTAGAGAAACTGTGGTCTTGAGGACAATTTTCATCCCTGTGATTGTAGGGATGCCATCCCCTAATGAGGACAGTCCTGGAGCCAATTAGAGGGAAAAGACTTTGTCTCATCC